CCTTTTGAATACTGGCTAAATTGCAATGAGCGTCAGCAAACATTGGATTCAAATCAATGGCTTTCTTAAAACATATTAAGGCACCAGTCTTATCCTGTAGTTCTCTTAAAGTATTTCCCATATTGCTATAAGCATCAGCAAACTCTGGTTGAATATTTATGGCTTCTCTATAATGCATTAATGCTTCGTGAAGTTTTCCTGTAACAGTCGAATTTTAAACAATACGAGACAAGAAAAAACACAAAGAAATATGATATTATTTACAACTTTTCTTAATACCATACTAAAAATTGGTAAAGGTTTTATTAAATAATATAGAGAAAATATGTAGAAACACACACAACTGTTTCAAGTATTCATAAAAAATTAAAATATTACTTATTCCGTTACCCATTATTACTGCCTATAAAAGCCCACTGCTGAATTTAGGCCCATAGTTTGCCTCAAAAGGAAGACTCACTATTTATATTTTATTATTTGCCATAGTTGCGATGCTTGGCTGGCGAGTTGAAAAACACAGTTTATTATTTTTAGTCACTATAAGGAAGACGCTGCCCATCTCCTGATTTGGTTCCTATGTCGCTTCTTACGACACCCGTGGGATGATATGGGCTAGTGGATATTCTTACACCGTCACTACACGGTACTTATTATTTAATTTTTATTTAGTATATAAAACAGAGTACAGTACGGCACAGTAGTATAGTAGAATATTAGCACATAATATATATGTATATATAGAAGCTAACCTTGTTGTTGCAGTAAGGATGCCATATTACTGTGCGTTGCTGCAAAATTAGGAAAAACCTCTAATGCTCTCATGTATAAAACCATAGCTTCATTAATCTTGCCTTGTTCCCTTTTAACATTACCAAGATTATTTAGAGTGTCAACGTGTGTCGGACATAAACGTAAAGCGGCATTGTAACAATCCTCTGCTTCAGCAACAAGGCCTTTTTCTTTTAATGCATTAGCGAGATTGCAGTAGGCATCAGGAAAATTGGGCTGAAGTTCAATTGCTCGTTTATATGTGTCTATAGCAAGGTCTATGAGACCTTGTTTGTAATAGTGACAAGCCAAATTTCCATATATAATTGCATTGCCCGGCGTTAGTTTAAGAGATTGAAGATAAACTGCTACCGCTCTGAAACCAGGAATTATTAATGTTGAATTAAATTACAATTATACAACTTTACCTACCTATCATCTTATTTTAATACCATATTAATAGTATAGTCATCATAACATAATATTTTTGGCATCATCACCCATGCAAAAAAGATCTAATGGCTTTTGATAGATTTCAACATAACTTTTTCGTTTACAGTAGATGTAAAATACCCAGAAGGGTATCAACGTGAAAAGTGTGGGACTTCTGGAACGGCGTCAATCTGCCTGCTACGGAAGACAATTAATGTAAATCCTGCTTACAATGGGAGAATCCCGTGTACTGTAGAATTATTCTTTCAGTTTAATAAAAAAATGTGCAAGAATATTTTTTTTATTACATCGGGTTTAAAACTGTGAAATTCATAATGAATAACGGGCTTTTCCGAGCGGCTTAGCTGGTATGGTTTTCGTTTAATCAACATCGTCCGTATATTCTTACAAATTCTATAAAACGGAGCACTTCGGGCCTTAACCTCGTTATCTGTCTGTGTGTTAGTTTGTCAATCACAACCGTTATTTCATGTAAATTATTGATTCCACAAAGTTAATGAATTTCCCAAAGCTACGAGTATAATACTACAGATACAGTTATACACATGCAAGTTAAAAATTCTAAATTTTAAATGATTATTCAAATCATCATGCTCACTAGCTAAATTTGACCCATATCACTGGCTCATACTTTTTCACAATTATGAGCCACGTAATTTCGTTTCCCGGCTATGACAACTTACTTAACAATATTGCAAGAATGTATATAGCTGTAGAGTATATATATTTATGTGAGCTATTCTCCACACATTTTCATTCTATTCTTGTCACAAAAATCTAAATAATAGCTCTAAAAATATAAATTCTAGCCTAATAAATAACGAACTGTTAAATACTCTCCTTAAAAACTCTCATTACTAGAAATGTTTTGGGACAGCGAAAAGTCCGTCGCCGTATACGTATTGGCGGTCTTCCAATGTCCACGAAACATTTTTTAATTCTCGGGCGCCTCGGTTTCGCTTTATTTACCGTCGAGCTCGTGGTATTTGAGCGCTTAAAGTTTCAATTAATAATTTCACCCTGGCATAAATGAAACATTCTTCTTGTGTACTATAAAATTTTAAGGAGACCGCTTATCCTTATTATATTAAGTGTTTAAATAAAATGCATATTGCACATTATGATAAAATTTTATTTATTTTTATGTTCTTGGCATGACAGAATTGTACAGGTGTCTTGATCTTGCACTTAACCGATTTCTTATGACAATAATATTTTAATCACTATTTTTTGGAATATTGTAACTATTTGAAGAACAACTGTCTACTTGTGAACTGTTTCATGTCGCTTCATGCAGTAGGGACTTGTTATAATGATGGCATAGTTTACCTTTACTTTACAAAATTAAAAAGATAATATTATAATAAAAGTAAATTAAGATGCTTTTATCACAAGCACATCAACTTATACTTGTTTATTCACAAATTAGTAATAAAACTATATAAGTAAACTAAATATCTCAATTTTCGCATTTCAAGATAGCCATCTTATGTCTTTCACGTTATTTGATATTATTCATTTAAATAATAACACTAAGAAAATTAAACATATCATATCAATCCATGTAAAACATCCATAAAATTCTAAGTATTTATATGCATTTACGTAATTATTAGATTAGTAAGTTTTATACATAATTAATAGATTACTTTTAAATAATTAATAGATTAGTAACAGAAGGGAAATCTTTAAAAAAGTAAAAATAAATCTGACCAAAACGGAATATCGACGTGAGAAAGTAATTCTGTTGAAAATAAGCAAATACTGAAAGTGAATGTTTCTAACCATTAGAATCAAGAAAAAAATTAGACGACGCAGTTTTCCTGCGTTTCTCGCGTCTCTGCTGAGAAGTAAAAAAAACATTTAGGCCGATGAAAGCGCCAGTGCTTTTATTTTTCTTCGCAACATTGGTTACTGAATGTATATGGGGCAAAGTAAGCAATAACCTTACTGTGCATTCATTTTTGCTTATCGTTACAAACTATCAAAATCCACTGCTGAGTTTAGGCGTCCCCCATCGCCTCAGCGCATCGGGGAGATATTGGCCACGCTTGGTATGCGGTTTAGCATCCACAGTTTTTGAAGTGAAAACTTCTTTAGCATCGTTCTGGTTTGAAACAAATGAAACGATAAAACGACACTAAAAAAATACAAATATATAAATCTGTAGGAGAATATGAGATAGAATCTAAACTAAAGAGGTTTTTTTGATTGTTTAAACACTCTAATCTCTGGAACTACCAGTCCAATTTAATATATTCTTTTTTGTATATGATAGCCAGATTTACGAAAAATAGTATACGAGCGGCACTGAAAATTTCGGGAATCAAGGAAGTGACACAACATTATTATTTAAAAATGTATTTATAGCTTTTCGAAGTCTTGTCCGCGAAATTTGACACATTTTTCCATACGATGGAACCAATCATTGAAGCAACCATTCCATTCGTAAGTTGGGGTCTCCAAAATGGCCGTTTTGTAGGCGTCCACAGCTTCTTCAGGTGATGAAAATCTCTGTCCACGCAATTTATTCTTTATCTTAGGGAAAGTATAGAAATTATTAGGGCTTAGGTCGGGGCTGTACGGCAGATGGTCTAATAATTCAATGTTTTCTTGCTCTAAAAACTCTTTTGCTCTGTGTGCGGTGTGAGAACTCGCATTGTCGTGATGGAGGATGAAGCGGCGGTTGCAGTTCTCTTTACGGAGTTCAGAAACGACCTGTGGCAAACAAATGCTAGAATACCATTCTGCATTAACCGTTCTTTGTCCCTCAAGAAGAATAGTCGTAACATGGCGGGTTTTGGAGACAAACGTGGCCACCAATTTTTTTTGCAACACTCCGTAAACGAAAAATTTTTGTTGGCTTTAACTCATTTTCGAACACCCAAACTCGTGACTGGTTTTTTGATTCGGATTCCTACGCATATATCCAGGATTCGTCACCTGATACGATGTTGTATACAGCATTTAAGGATCCTGCGTGGAATCTTTCGAGAGTTCTGACGCACCAAGTAACGCGAGCCGCTTTATGCTCTTCACAGTGCGAATGCGGTAGCCATCGGGAAAACAACTTTTTTACACCTAATTGTTCATGCAAGATTATTTGTATTAGACTCATGCCAATGTCTAAAGTTGCCTGAATCTCGTGGTATGTCACATGTTGATCTTCTACAATCAGCTTACGCACAGTATCAACGTTTTCTTGGGTGACTGCAGTTTTTGGACGACCTTGACGGGGATCATCACTGAGCTTGACACGTCCACGTTGAAATTCAGCAAACCAGCGATAAATTGTGGTTTTGGATGGGGCTTTATCACCAAATGCAGAAATCATCCGGTCAATACACTGTTTTTGTGTTAAACCACTACGAAAGTCATAATAAATCATCGCTCTTGAATTTTCTCGAGTCAATTCCATTTTCTCAACGATTAAACAAGTTTGACAAAACCTTGTGACAAGACCGAGAATCTTTTTTTAAATAAATAAATGGTATTCAATTTAAAAACAAAACCAAGGACTTTTCAATTAAAAAGATTTGAAATATTCCATTCCCGATACTTTTAGTGCAGCCTATGTAAGTTATATAGCAGTAGGCTAGAACTCTCAGCTAGCCTTAAATATTGGTATTTGTTAAGCAAGTCAGAAGAGAAAGCGCTTTCGAACTGCTTAATCCACGTGCGCTGGCGTAATGGTTAGTGATACGTAAATACTATGTTCTACAAAAATATAGATATTTCCTTTAACTAAAAAAAGTTTGGGGCACAAAAGTCCTATTACTTATACGTAAGTCACAATAATGTATTTTGTGACAAATTAAATATTGAAAATTAAAAAGTGATTTATGATCGTTATTATTAGTCATAGCATATTAATACTTACGAACTAAAGTTACTACATCATCAAGACAATTTCATGAAGACAAACATTGCTCTTTAAAGCATGTTATTTGGAAGCATATTTTAAGAGACAATAAAAAATTTAAATAATTCATCACGGCTCAGCGTGCGAACGACGCCTGGCCACCCGATGAGAACCGAAAGAGAATAAGCGAGGTGTCATGTCATGATACCGCGGGAAACAGCTAGTTCAGTGTAAAATGTTCCCTATTATCTCGGCCTTCTTTGTGTGCGGTACTATAAAAATGGCTAATATAACTTTTAAATGATAAAATAAAGAATTAAATAATTACAAGTTTATTATCAAATAAATAAAATTATTTATAATTGGATTGCGCTTGCTGGATGTTAAGTGGTAGCGAAATGGAATTCATTACCACTTAACATCTAGCAAACGTAATCTTAACAGTCTTTAAAAAACAACTGAAGGAGTATTATTTCAATTTCCCGTCATAAATAAATTACATGTATTGCCTATTCTCATTAATATATTGATTTTTTCTTTATTTTTCTCTGCGTATATATTACGTGTATTTGAATGCATATTATGTATGTACGTATGTATGTCTATATATATACACAACTATATACACACACACACACACACACCCACACCCACCCACCCACACCCACACCCACACACACACACCCACACCCACGCCCACACACACACACACACACACACACACACACACATATATATATATATATATATCACACACACATATATATATTATATATGTGTGTGTGTGTGTGTGTGTGTGTGTGAGTACATATATTTATTTATATATGTTAATTAAATATTATATTTTTATTTAAATAATTATTCATATATCTATAGGTATTCCGTTATTGTAACTACTTTGTTTAAATGCAATTAAGAGTTATTTATTTATCTATATTGAATAAAATTATCATATTATGCAAATAATTCTTAACAATCCATGATTTCATATCTTACCGGTTTATATTAAATAACTCTATTTTAAGGACTTGAGAGTCAATCAATTTCTGTTTCCTTGTTCGATAAATTGATTTTACTTATATAATTCATTATATCGGTAAAATCATTTTACCGATATAATGAATTATATAAGTAAAATCATTTTATTGAAAAAAAAATTGACTGACTTCAGTAGACGTCACTATTGCAGAGCAGTTTTAGTAGAAAGACAATATTCCTAAAGTTTGGTCTAAACATGACTAAAAATAAGATTTGTAAGATTTATTTGCTATAAAATTAAACTTTTATTTTACATTTTACGCCGCACTTGTAGTTCAAGATTATCAAATTAAATAAATCATTTGCTGTGAAATGATTTTGTTTTATATTTCATTTTATATGAAGGTTTTACTTCTACCGCGTGTGAACTACACACGTTTTTAATTTTTTTAGTTTGAGTAGAAGACGACCGCAGAATACTATGTCGAGAGCAAGTAAAGAATTTTTTTTCAATGTGTTGAAGGCTTTATTATCATGGTGTTAAAAGTTTTATTCACTCGAAGGGAATTATATGGATTAATAAAAAAATATACAAATATTACTACTTTCAATTACCATTCATAAAATCTATCATCTATCATCGGTATCATGAGAGCAGCGTCGAACTGTGGACTACTGACAAGAACATATTGCATTAAGAGCCGTGGCAGCTCTGTTACAACCCGGGTTAGATACCTATTAAACTATGAAATTGTATATTACAATTTTACCACATACCTGGTGAAAGAAAACATCGTGAGGAAACCTGCATGTCTAAGAAATTAGGAAAAACATATTTCGAAGACATGTGAAGTCCACCGACGCGTATTGGGGCAGCACGGATGACACTTTTTTCTTTATGTCGTGGGCTGCAGCAATATTGCGACATTATGGTCGTATGTTTTATATGGATACAAAGTTTAAGGTGACCTTAATACGCTCACGTGCCGTAGAGTAATTATTTTTAATTTTACTCTTGTTTCTTTTATACAATTATTGCAAAATATGGAACAATAATTTCTCATTCATCGCCATAAAACATTCTTTGAGTGTACAAGTTTTAAAAGCACTCTGTAGAAATTCCAAGCACTTGTAATATTTTTTATAAATATTAGTGTCATTTTTGTAATTGAACAATTTTAAACACAATTTGAGATTCTTGATTAAAATTTGTGAATTATAACGTATTTTTATGCAAATGATGTGTTAATGTAGGTATCTTTCGTATCTATGATACAATTATTTTAATAAATAATGTATAATCTGATTTAATAAACTGACCTTTTGAGCTTATTTTTGAACCAGGCAATACAGCCATTAGAAAGGCCGGCTGCTTGCGTTGCAAGTCGTGGCGGTGCGATGTTGATAACCGTGTACACAACAACGCATTGGTAATCCATAACACGGGCATATCCTCGAACCTTGCCGATGGGTACTAAAAGCGGCGGACACGCAGGGCTTGCGGACAATCTTGCCGCGTCACGCAAGACGCGTCCGCGCGGCTTGCCAACTTCCCTGACGCGTCGCGTCTACGCAAACCACGACCTTCGCTGGCGCGCTTACACTAAACTCAGATCTAAAGCTTATTACTATCACGTTTAATTAACGACGTTGACACTACACATTCGTCTACTAGTCGCTTTGAAGAAAATCACTACTAATATGTTTTATTTACAGTTTATTTTCATTATTTCATATTTTACTAAAAAGTTAGTGTTTTTGACATTGTTCACAGTAAATATATTAATTATAATTTTTGTGGGCCGACTGTATAATACCATCCTTTGATTGTGTAGCTGTGTAGTAAACAGCTTTTAAAAAAAATCAGGCTTTGCTTTTCCCAGGGTAATTGAAAATGACCTAAATAAAGGCGATAAATGTGTCGGAATTGTGAAAATAGAGCTATATATGAGTATTACAATGATGTATGAAGGGACGTCACAGTAAAACTTTTTAAATCGCCATAATTTTTTTACGTTTGGTAATAAAAGCGTACATAATAAGCAGAGGTACAATAATATCGATTTGCGAGGATGAGTGGCAGCGACGCAGCGCGGCGTGGCGTCGAGACGGGTGCTCAGAGCGACTGCGGCGGCTGGGCTTTCCCAATGGAAGTACGCGTCTCGTTTTATTACACGGATACGACTATTTCAATATCTTTAATAACACTTCGCATTATTTTATTGTACTTAATATTTAAGAAATTTTAAGAAAAAAAAATCTTGCATTTTTTTTAACACCGTAATTTTGGGGGTAATAAAATCTCATTTCAAATATATTGGGATTTTATTTAGATTTTTATTTCCAGCAAATACTACGACTACGGTTCATTCTGGCATGCTTCTGCAGAATAAAAGGTCAATGATGGTTAAATGGTCTTTGCTGTCATATATTTGTTGAAAATACTTTATAACCTTAATACTACTTGATTTTCTTGTAATCTATTTCATGAATACTATAGTGAGGATTGTCTTCAAGATTAACTTAAAATATCGCAAAGGTGTATTTTGATTCACATTAGAAAATATTATTTCGTTCCTATTAATTATATTATGTAACTGATAAACATTTCACTATAAAAATACAATTATATAACATCACATTTTTATATTTTTTTAAATAATTCAAACCCAAAAACAAAATTAATCATTAACGTAAACTACCACACTACGTTTAATTAAATATACTATATTCGTTGCTTCAATAAGTTACATTTTTATTAGTTTTTACTATTATTATATTACTTGGCCAACCGAGCTTTGCTTGGCGTTAAAAAATACATGCACTCAAGCATTACATATAAATAGAAAAACCTTTAAAGTAAAACCACAGCAAGTTAGACTGAGGTAAAACATTGCCTAAGTACAAAATTTCATCTTAATCGCTAAATCATCTAACCTTTTCTTAGAAACCATTTTTTTTTTTTCATTTTTTTCTTTCATGGTTTTCTTGTATACCAGTAAAAATATTTTCTGTAAGAATACTGTACCTAATCGAATTTTAGAAAAATACAACTCCCCAAAAATATTTTATTAAGCAACATTCATTTATTTTTCTCCAGCCTGTAGGCATAACATTAATAAACAAAAATTATAATCTTGAGAAGGGTGAATGTCGTGAAGATTATCTCTGCAGAAAACAACCACAAGAAAAACCAAATATATAACTACCAATTATATCGAACAGAAAACTACGTTTGAAAACTACCAAAATAGAAAACTACCGATTATACTGCACGGGTAAGTCAAGTTTGTTGCCTTTTGCATGAAAACCGGGAAAAAATGAATTTTCTCTATCACTTTAAGTCAAGTGACTGTGATAACTGATAACACAACACATAACAACGTCTTAAAATTGAGTAAGTTTTGAGTATTTGGGCATAACAGTACGTCCGTGATTTGTGTAAGATAAGATAGATAATGTAATTGGACTTGGCTAATTTTAAGGAGACTTGGTTAATACTACACGAATTGGATCAGGCTAATGAAGTCAATAAGGAGAGCTGCTAGGCTAAATCCTCTGGAGGTACGCCCGTGTGTGTGCTACGAGAGCGGCCTTACGGCAGAACAGCGCTTCTAGTTTGAAAAGCAAAATGTTTACTGTGCATTGTTGTAATAATAAAGGAATAATGACAGTGAGCTTAGATCGAGTTTACTTATTTTGAGCGGATACCACACTAGCACACTCTTACCTATTTTGGTCACCAAATAGCAGCGCTTGTACTCCTGTATTCTGGTCTAAAGAGTATAGATAGGGGCTGTGACGTATTTCATCTTAGTTCTAGGACAACGCATCTGTAGCGTTCTTTTTAAAGTTGGCTGCAGGTGTTCATGGACTGCATGTTGGACTGGATGGGATGTTTTCCGAAGTTTCTCAGCTCGGCAAGCGGGTTGGCAACCGTTTTTTTTTTTATTGTAATTTTGCCGTTAACAGATAGATGCTGCTACCCATCTCCTGTCTTAGTTTCCCTATGTCACCTAATATAGCACTGGAAAGATATGAGGTAGTGGATATTCTTAAACCTCCACACAGTAGTGTCACCAAGTCAAGGCCAAATAAGGTTTTTTTTTACTTTTTTCTTAATTTTATGACTTCTTCGAGTAGTAAACTTAAACCCGCGCTTAAGTACGTCCAAAATGATGAGAATCTGCAAAAGTGGAAATGTTGTCCCTAAATATTGTACTAGTAAATTTAACAGTAAAATAACAGAAGTAAAAGTTAGAACGTAAAAAATATAATTGTTTGAGTGTAGACTGAGAAAAGTATAATAAAATCTTTGCAAATTTACTAAGAAAACAGTAGAACGTAACATAATAGATGATCACAAAAATAGCAAATCCCAATCTCGCCTTTGACAACTCCGAAAATGCCTCGCGGACAGCTTACAGAGTCAATATACTTGCAAAGGTCGAAGCGGAGTTCGAATCTAAGTCTGCACTACCACCTGCGGGAAACCCCGTAGACCCTGTGACTGCCGACAAAGTCGCAGAAGTAATCAAAAGCCATAAAAAGAAATCAGAACCCGGCCCCGAGGGTATTAGCAACAGGGTACTGAAATCTCTCTCCGCGCCGCTCGTTCGCCTCCTAGTAGGCATATTAAACGCTCTTCTTTCCAGCTGCTCTTTCTTGGATACATGAAAAGAGGCAGACGTAATAGGAATCCCGAAACCGGGGAAACCGCGCAACCTAGTCTCTAGTTACAGACCTCAGTTTACTCAGCACACGTAAACACGTCTTCACCAACAAACTTCTTCCAGACGAGTAGTTCGGCTTCAGACCCGAACACTCGTGCACCGACCAATTACTTCGCCTCACAGAATACTTTATGAAAGGATTCAACCTCGAATAAAGAGGTCGAAGAGCCACCATGACTGGTGCCCTCTTCTTCGATTTCGCAAAGGCGTTTGACAAAGTCTGCCACGACGGCTTGCTATACAAGCTTTATGAACTCAACCTGCCTGATAGGCTCAACCACATCATCAGAGCCTTTCTTGCCAATCGCCACTTCTGCTATCGAATAGAGGGTACTCGTTCCTCAAAGCGCACCCTCAAGGCCAGAGTCCCACAAGGCTCCGTCCTCTTACCACTAATCTTTACACTCATCACGAGTGACATCCCCCGTTCCGCTAGATGTCGACGACCGAAATGTCACCGGCCAGTAACACATAAGCACTACACACTCACATAGTACCACAAACACAGTTAGAACAACATCTGTTGGGACGCAGCGAGTCCGCAGACAGGTTAACAGTACTAACATCACGGAAACTAGAGAGAGAAAAAATAGCTATTATTTATTATAAATATAGGGCATGTATCTCTCGAAGACTCTTAATAAAACAAGTAGAGTTACTTTTGACTTACATAACACGAGATAAGTCTCCGGCTCATGACGGTCTTAATAATAAACCTGCGAGTCAACGCATTTGTGCGTTGTAAGCGCGGTTTTTCAATTTCTGTGTTAAGCATTAATATTTATCCGAGGAACTAATACGTACGACAGGCTGCATGTTATTATGAAAAATAAAATATGGGAAAAATAATGTGGGATTTCAAGCAATACAAACTAAAGCTGGCCACTATAGTACATTTTAATGTCATAATGACGATGGACTGTTGAATGTTTGTACAAATGCTTCGACAAAAATATTGAAGTTAATAACTTAGGGTGCAGCTAATATACGCCCCACTGGTGAGCACAGGCCTCCTCTCATTTCTGAGATGGTTTTAGAGCAAGGAAATGTGATTTCCTGTAAATATAATTTCCAGACCAGGAATAAGATAGTAGACAACTTGCAAGTAATTTGGACATATTGTTACTTCAAATCTAAAGAAAAATGCTGATGTAGGTAGTCATGGTAAAACTCAATGTATTATGGGCAACGTTCTTACCAGAAAGTTTTTCAAGATATAGCCATGGTTCCATTTATGAATATACTAGACCAGGATGACGCTTGATATACGAGTTGCCTATAATCACATCTTTGGACATTTAATGGAATTTTATCGCTATAATAGCGCTTTTGAAATGTACTCGTATACCAAGGTAGACTCCATTAACGCATTCCATCTTTTATGTACGGAGATGAGGTATGTAACTGTTCACACACCTAGTTGCCCAGACTAAGGTCTACCATACAGGGGCCCATACAGCTGTTAGGTTCGACGGACAACTAAGTGTGGGGCTCAAATGCCTTATGGAAAATGTCCTATCATACTACACAATAGGGAGAAGGCTAGGTAAATAAATAAGACGTACCTGTTTCTGAGGCGAAGAAGGATCACAAGGCTCGTTCAGGCGTTAATTGTCGTGAATGTAAGTAGTGTGTGAGAAGTGTTGATATGTGTAACCTGAATTAGCCCGTTTTAATCAGCAGCAACCCTGACTCCAGCACCGCCA